CCTTAACAGCAACCCAGCTTCTTTCGGTTGGGTGGGCTGTCTTCTGAGTCTTCGGTAAGCACTCTGTGGCTGCCGGACAGGAGAAGAACAGCGGCCGCATCAGCTAAAGACCGACAAAGTGTAAGAAGCGCACCAGCCAACATAGAAGGACTCAATAAATCGACATGAACTGCAGTCCATGCACGTGCTCCAGCCCAATCATCCCAATCCAGCATTGCCAAAAATATGGATGTAACAGAGGCCGCATGAGGTACCAAGTTGTCCACAGCCACGAGGACGAGGCTGACAAACACGCCCAGCAATTGTAGAGCAGCAAACTTTCGGGCTCGTCTCAGATAGGATTTTACAGCTGGCGTGTTTTCACAATCTACCTTACCTGTCCAGCATCATAGGAAAAGAAAGGTTAACCTTTTGGGTTATATAGGAGTTATAGTAAAACAGTACCCCCAAAAAAGGTTAAAGGTNNAAGGTTACCCACTGGACTACTAAGCTACAGTGCGTGACAGTGTCCGCAACTGCAGGGAGCATTGGGTAAGGGAGCTGATCGCGGCCGCGCTTGCCACCACGTTGCACAAACACGCCTGCACCACCGCCAGGGCCCCAAGCAAACAAAGGCAGCGCACCACCAACAACAATGCCATCCCAGTCGCAACATCAACCGATTGAAAGATTGCCATTGGCAAACCTCGGAACAAAACAGCTGCACCTAGTGAGAGCGCACAAGCCGTAGCTCCGAGCACTTGCTCCCAAATCAGCTTTTGGAAGCGTGCGCTGCGATAACTCTGCTTCGAGACGCGCTCCAAGATCTCGAGTCTCCCAGCTATCAACATCTGCATCAAGAACATAGTTACCAACATAAGGAACCTGCTCAATAAGTTCATCATGAAGTGTACAAAGGGATAGAGTGTATGCGTCAGACACGCAAGCCAGTTCACGATTGCACAGTTGCTGGCTAACCTTAAATGAGCCGAAGCTCTTGCCTTTTTGTGAAGAAACGCTGCTGCGCAGCCAACTCCGAAATTGGCCAACGTCTGCACAAAGAAGAGGACTCGGTAGAACAAAGGGATATAGATGCGAATGTCATAGTCTCGGGTAAGTAAAAGGGCTGTAGCTGTCACATTGACTACAAAGACGGCAAAATATGATCCAGGCCGATATCGTCTCCAGGTCTTCTGGAAGCAGGCGCATGGACTGGGTGAGTTTGAAATGCTGGAGGTATCACCGGAGCTCTCTGAGATCGAGCTTGCCGGCTTTGCCATGCGCTTGAAGAACGACCTTCAGCAATTCAACTAAACATCACAGCCAAAATGGCTGTGATCATCGGGGGGCTGGGGTTGGACTTTGTGGTGCAAGTGGGCAAGCGGGCGTGTAAGCGCTGCTCTGATTTACAGGCAAACCTTGACACAAGTGGCCTGCTTGAAACATGCAGGGCACGCCTTCTCATGGACAAGACAGCCGTCCGCCGGAAGCGTCGTCGCCAGTTCAGGCCATTTCCCAGTTCGAGTTAGGATAAGGATTGAAAAATCAGCAAGACAAGGGATATAGCATGTGGTTTTGATTTGAGGCTGTGCTTGACTTGGGAAGTGCTTCGTGTTTTGGATGGTTGGACAGGTTGTCGTATGCGGTGGGTTGAGACAAGGTCCAAAGCGTGGGGGCGATGTGAGGTCTGGGGCCAGCCTCTGC